GTGTGTCTGTGTGTCTGTACAGGTGTGAACACATCATCATGGGTTTGTGTGTGTCTGTACAGGTGTGAACACCAGGTTTGTGGATCAAGAAGACATCTGTGTGCAGTACCTGTACTGTGAGTCCTGTCTACGCAACTCTGACACGCCACACAGTGACACTCTCGACACGCGAGCACAAGTAGCAGCCGGTGCCAGGGTACAGCTAGCAGCCGGGACGGGGGCTCGCTTCAGTAAAGGACAGGTGAGAGTTTGTTCCCTGGGCATAACTGTCAGACACAACAGTCAGACACACAACAGTCAGACACAACAGTCAGACACAACTGTCAGACACAACTGTCAGACACAACTGTCAGACACGACAGTCAGACACGACTGTCAGACACGACAGTCAGACACAACTGTCAGACACAACTGTCAGACACAACTGTCAGACACAACTGACAGACACAACAGTCAGACACAACTGTCAGACACAACTGTCAGACACAACAGTCAGACACAACAGTCAGACACGACTGTCAGACACAACAGTCAGACACAAAAGTCCAGGCTTTAAAAACATTTATTTCATTTTCACCTATCAGTCAGTGTTTGAGCTGTTAGCCTGACCTTCAAAACCATTTTTTGTGCTACTTCTCAAATGAACGGTCACCTACTGTGACCTACGGAGCATTCAGCATATAAAAAAGTGGCACCAATTTTGTAACAAAAAATGTAACATACTTAAAGCTCCTATGCAGTGTATGCACATGTTCCTTTCTTAATCTTATGCGGATAAAATCCCCGTTTTTCAGAAAACAAATGTTTGCGTATTGTTCATGGAGGGAGACCAGTTCCAGTTGTTGATTTCCCTCAGATTGCTCCGAAGTGTGTCCCCCGGTTCCAGTTGTTGATTTCCCTCAGATTGCTCCGAAGTGTGTCCCCCGTTGTTTTATGCTCTCTCAAATGATGCACGTCTGCTACGGTACATCTTTAGCCTATCAAATTTTCCTGTCTATTTCATTTAGTGTCAACAGGTTTGTTTCGCACTTTCTATTCCTAGATGTACAGATATAAATGTCTATATTATATATATCATATTTGTCTTTCTTGTGTAGTTTAATTTTTTATTTTTTTTCTCCAGATGTGGCTGTTTGCCAGTCAAGTAAAAGTTTTGCCCGACGAGCAAGACTAAAACCTTCACCTCTGGTCCCACTTTGGTGTTGAGGCGACCATCCAGTCAGCGACTCTCAGCATGACCTTGGTCTGACACCACGTCGTCACGTCTCCCTCTGGGCTGGCCAGACTTGGAACGAGAATATCGGAATAAATCAATGACTGAATGATGAAGGAACAGTAGACACTGGGCACTAGATGTACCGTCAGATCTACACATGTGTTCCTTTCCTTCTGACTGTGGTAACTGTTCCATGAATTGATGAAGAGTCGTTGTCAAGTGCACATAGCATGCTCTACCAGTGATCTCAGATGTCCTCTGCTCTAGTCCACCTCCATGATACGACAATTCTACGGTGGCCGTGCTGGAAAAAGATGAGAAGTAAAAAAATATCTCTGGGAAAGAAAAGGGCAATAATTGGCAACAGTGAGTGATCGATCAGCAGTGGGGGAGTCATGAAGGCCTTTAATGAAAACCTTTCCTTTTGTTCATCAGCAGTGGGGGAGTCATGAAGGCCTTTAATGAAAACCTTTCCTTTTGTTCATCAGCAGTGGGGGAGTCATGAAGGCCTTTAATGAAAACCTTTCCTT